ACTATGTTGTCAGGGTATTATAGCTTTGTGCAACCCCAAAAGTTTGTAACGCCGCGAAATATTGATCCTAGACTCATTTTTAAGTATACCGATCGGCGTATCTCGACTAGCTGAGTCGATCTAGACATGTGTGTCCCTCCGTCCGTCTGTCCATTATATTCTGTAAACACGATACAGGCCACAGTTATGGACCAATCTTCACGAAATTTTGCATGTAGGATGGGTTCTGGCCAATGAAGACCCCTATTGTTTTTAATAAAGATCGGTTGAAATTTAGGGGATGAAATGGACCAAAAACTTTATTTTTGTCCAATTTTCTTGTCGCACCAGAGGCCGCAATTATGGCCCGAACTTCGCGAATTTTCACATGGAGAAGAGGGTCGGGCCAAAGATTAAGCATGCCTGTTTTTATAAAGATCGGTCAATATTTAGTGGGTCAAATGGACCCTGATTTTTGTGTGCAAAATTACAAATTTGTATTCTATGGCGTAAATATTTACTCCTGGAGGACATAGACCCGAGAAGTTGATAGTATATCCAAGAGGAGTGGTTGACCTTTAAATTGATACCAATCATATTGTCGTAGGTACTCGGATGCGGGAGTTACACTTAAATATTTACAGGTGCTTACGTTATTTAGTAACCTATTACCACACTTTAGGGCAAATATATAGCCTGATCGCTTTGAAATGTTCCACGAGGTTCCACTTATGGTCAAGGACAACACCTAAAATGTTAGGTGATGATCAGATAATAATTTTTCGAATGAAGTGGACCGAAAACTTAATTATTTGTACTTTTCGAGTAGAATGTCGAACATCACAACACAACCTAAGGTGAAGGGAATCTGGACAAGTAATTAGAGGGGGTGTCAAAAGTGTGCAAGTTAGTTAGAAGAAAGTTAGATTTTCATGGAAGTTGTGTAGGGTATCATATGGTCGGCCCCGTCCGACTATACTGCTCCGCTCACAGGTTAAAATACAGCTTTGACATTTTGCACATATACTGCTACTACTCGTAGGATGTTTGAAAGTGAAAATGGAATATACCTGTTCACGTTTTGATATAGCCCCCATATAACGGTACCCCAAATATTCTATATTTAGTTAAGTTTGGGCACGTTTTTTTTAACCGATTCGACTGTAAATTCCATTCCGTAGCAAATCTTCCTACCAAAAATCATCGAAATCGGTCCATTTTTATGATATCTCCCATATAACGGAAATCCTCATTATTCGGTATTTAGAGGAATTTGGGCACGTCTTTTATCCTTATTTCCTGTAATTTAGTACTTCTCTTTTCCCATTTGATGGCAAATCTCCTTAACAAAAAATATCCATATAAGTTCACTTTTGAGGATAACGGATCCCACCCGAAATGGCTGTAATTAGGAACTTTGAAGCTCCCTTATAAAAATATATTGATATCAGATCACATTTGAGAATAGCCTACCTATAACGAACACATTTATAACCGAATTCGCTGTAATTTGTAATTTCCTATTGGGTATCCATAACGATACACATTTGTGAATAGCCTACCTATGACGGTACCCCCATTTTTATACCCTTCACCACACTGTGGTACAGGGTATTATGTCTTTGTGCATATGTTTGTAACATACAGAAATAATCGAGATAGACCCATGGTTCCTTTTGAGAATATGCATAGAATCACTTTCTAAGTCGATTTATGCATGACCGTCCGTCTGTCCATGTTAGATTGTAAACAAAGTACAGGTCGCATTTATGATCCGAATTGGATGAAATTTGGCACCGCTCATTTGTTTGACCCAAGGACGAACCCTATTGAAATTGGGAAAAATCGGTTCAGATTTAGATATAGCTCCCATATATATTTTCGTCCGATTTAAGGTAAATGGTGCACCAAAGTTCCTATATATCTTTCGATTTGCACGAAATTTGGCACAACGTACTAAATTAAGTCTAGTATGATGTGTGCAAAGTTTCGTGAAAATCGGTTCAGATTTAGATATAGCTCCCATATATAGCTTATAGGTAAGTCCACTAAAGTCCCTGGAAATCTTTTGATTTGCACGAATTTTGGCACAGGGTAATGAATAAGGTCTAGAATGATGTTTGCCAAGTTTCGTGAAAATCGGTTCAGATATAGATATAGCTCCTTTATATATATATATATATATATATGAACGAAATTTGGCACAGCGTACTAAATTAAGTATAGAACGATGTGTGTAAAGTTTCGTGAAAATCTTTTCAGTTTTAGATATAGCTTCGCCCAATTTAATAAATAGTCCACTAAAGTCCCTGGAAATCTTTTGATGTGAACGAAATTTGGCACAAAGTTATGAATAAGATAAGAATATAATAAGATCGAGAATGATATCTGCCAAGTTTCGTGAAAATCGGTTCAGATTTAGATATAGCTCCCATATGTATTTTCATCCGATTTAAGGTAATTGGTGCACCAAAGATCCTATATATCTTTCAATTTGCACGAATTTTGATATAGGGTACTGAATTAAGTCTAGAATGATGTTGCTAAGCTTCGTGAAAAAAATCCATAGCTAGGCTGATTGACACAACATACTGATGTTATATAAATAAGTCTCTGGCAAGTTTCCCTGAAATCGGCTCAGGTATAGATTTATAACAAAACGCGTCGTCTGTTAGAATACATATGTAAAATATACCCAAAGTGGTGAAGGGTATCATATAGTCGGCCCAGTCCGACTTTACTACTTTCCTTACTGGTTGAAAGTTTAAGCACGTTTTTTAAACGAATTGGCTGTTACTTGATAATTTGAGCTCCCATTGGGTAACAAATCTTCTTACCATAAAATATCTATATCGGTCTAACTTTTGAGGATATTCCTCATATAACCATAGCACACATTATTCGGAACTTTTAAAAGTTTCGTTTCATTTTTTACCCGAATTTGCTAATCTTACCAACGATTGTTGGTATCCGTCAAGATTCTAGGACAACCTCCACATAACGTAACCTCATGTATTCGGTATTTTGGGTAATGTTTGGGCACGTTTCTTTAACAAATACACTGTAAGCTGGTTCTCTCTTCTAACAAAATACTTACCGTAACATAGCCCGCCATTTATAAAAGTCCCGAAGGCCATTTATGAGGTTCACCGCAATTATTCCCATAAAATATTTCTTTCAGTGTACCTTAATGTTCCCCAGTGAATATGTGTGCAATCAAAGCTAAATAACTTAAAATTGCTTCTCCTTTTCACAGGAATCAAAAATGAAAGAAAAAATCCCTCACCGGCACGAACACAGTTACCAAACAATGCGTAAAATTGCTTTTGAGTTCATTCATAAAAATCATAATCATCATAATACTCATCAGCATCACCGGTGGCAGCAGGTAAAATTCCAAAAAAAAGGGAACAAACCTTCATTTACATTTTTCGATTCTCTTTTCGGGGCTATAAAATATCCATAAGGAGATTATTAAAAAAATCTCAGGGTAAAAGGAAAAAAAATCTGAAGGAAAATATTCCTATATTATAAATTATAATTATTGTTTTTCTTTAATATAAAATAATGTTTTATTTCGATTTTGTTTCGTTACAGCAACAACAACATCTCTGTAAAAAGAATTACAATGACATCAAGTTAAAATTCCTCACGAGCAAATGAAAACGAAACACAAAATCGAAACATATCATTTTTTGTTGAAAACCAATTTCCAAAGGGTGGTGGTGGCATGTATTACAACTACTGAGCGACCTTGAAGCCCCACCCACAAACGCAAAATTCCTAGAAGGAAGTAAAAAAAAAATAAATCGAAAAAACTGCAACACATCGACATAACGTCCAACACTCAAACATACAGGCCCATTCCGCAACGGCATCATCATGGTCAAAGGCATATTAATTAATCGTAAATCGGATGAAGCCCTCAAGGCCCAACTAAAAATGGAGCATGCCGATTTGGTGGCGGAAATGCAAACTGTCGAAAATTTACCCACACATGAGCGACTGCAATTGGCAAGACTGTAAGTATACGAAAACAAAAAGAACAACAACACCCTCATTGTTACGCATTATTTACCATAAATTTGCCCCTTCTCAATTGACTGGCTAACTGGCCTGGCCAGTCAATTTAACCAATAACCCACAGAGGGAAATTACCCATAAAAACACAACACTTCAGACAATAACTACCACATGACCGGCTAGCTGGCTGTCTACCCAGCTGACTAACTTGACTGACAATAGTTATTGTTATTGTTTAGATTATCCCAAAGGGGTTTTAAGCAAACCCAGTGATATCAGTGTTGGCTCTTTTTTTTGTACTCTCGTTTTTTTTTTTGTGTCAAGGGATCCATGTTATGATTTATAACCTTTGTTTGGTTACAGCATTATGGGTGTGTATTTCAAATATCATCATATCATAGCCATGCCATGCCACAAAAGGATAACGGGTTATTTATGACAATTTTTTTCGCAAACATTTGAAAGAATTTTTATAACAATGATGACTAACTTAGGATCCTTGTAGCATTTTCAATAAAAAAAACACAAACAAAAAACAGAACTCTGCTAGTCATTGTTTGTGTGTCATTTGCAGAACTCAAAAGTGTTAGAATATAAAAATTCCTAAAATATGTTTAGAAATTTATAACCGAGTAAATTTGAGATGAAATGTATTCAAAAGTGATAAAAAATAAGTTTTCTTTGGAAATAAAAAGGAGTGAAATGTTGAACTAGTAATAAAATAGGATTAAGATCAAAATAACCGAATAGTAACCCTGAGGAAAGTAAAAAAAAAAAAATATTTTAGACTCGCCAGTCGCTTTTTACTATCCTATATGAATGTTCATATATTAATACACAGATACTAGATCTATGAACATATTTTGAAAATTTTCTCTTAGAAATCAAAATGTTAAATTTTGCCTATATGTGGCTAGAATCTTCCATATACCTAAACTGCGGGGTGTGGCCATTATATGGTAGCTATATCATAACTACGGCATAATTATACCTTTTTTCTCTAAATATAAGACCGCGTGGACGGTATTTCCTAATAGAGAACTACACACAACAACAACATGACTAACTCCAAGGGTTATCGTCCCAGAGACATGTTCCCCCGCCCCTTCCGCAAGCATGATGTCATCCCATTGTCCACCTATATGCGTGTCTTCAAAATCGGAGACATCGCTGACATCAAGAGTCATGGTGCTGTCCAAAAGGGTATGCCCTACAAGGCCTACCACGGCAAGACTGGCAAGACTGTCGGAGTTATTGTAAACAAGCGTGTTCGCGGAAAGATCCTACCCAAGCGCATCAATGTCCGCATTGAACATGTCCATCACTCCAAGTGCCGTGAAGATTTATTGCGCCGTGTCAAGGAAAACGAACGCTTGTTGCAGAAAGCAAAGGCTAAGGGTACCTGGGTCAACTTGAAGCGTCAACCTGAACAACCCAAGAAGGATCACTTTGTTAAACAAATCGAAGAACCCATCCTATTGGCTCCCATTCCTTATGAATTCATTGCCTAAGTTATGTTTCGGGTCAGTCTAGAAGCCACCATTATGACCCGAATACGAAATTTTTAACAAATAAAGAGGTCTGACCATAGAATAAGCATAACTGGTAAAATGCACCCAGACTTTTGTGTGAGAAAATGGCAAAATTTGCATTCTATGGTGTATATATTTAAGCCTGAAGGATATAGACCCGATAAGTCCAAGAGGAGTGGTTGACCTTTTAATTGATACCGATTACATTGAAGTACGTATCCTGATTGCGAGAGTTATACTTTTGCATAAGGATCAAGTTATGGTCAAGGACGACGCCTATCATTTTCGATGATGATCAGATGATATATTGGGGATGAAATATTTTTGTCTGTTTTCTAGCCGCCGCAGAGTGTGCAAATATCGCGAAATATTACTCAAGCTTGGAATATAGATTCACAGAAACTGAGTGCACAGTGATAGTGTAGGGTGTCATATGGTCGGCCCGTTCGAATATACTGCTCCGTTCACTGGAATTTTTAATACACTTTTTGGTCAGCAGGTTTTCTATTCTTTGTGAAACCGAAAAAAATACAGAAGTTTATATGTCTAGAATTGGAGGATTTCTATTGGGGACTATGTTAAAAAAACGTACTCCAACTAAGAATTTTCCTTAAACATGTCTATTATCGTAAGAGATTAGAACCTTCCAACCTTCCGGGTTATTTTGTAACCTCTGAAAGTCAATTTAAAGTGATCATAGGACCTTTGAAATACATAATGTGGCGAGTCTTTTATATGGTAACTATGTGAGAATGTGGACCTAAATTGAAAAATTTTTTATAATTTTTATCATCAAAGCGCCAAAAGTATGGTGAGGTATTTATAACATGTTTTTATACTTTGACGAACATAAATACTACATTTCAAAGTGTCAAAACTGTTTTTGATTTAATTCGAATCTTCTCTAAGTTATTGTGTCAGCATCAAGTGACGGCAAAAGTGATTCTCAAACTTAAAACGCATTTTTCTCGAAACATTGTTTTACGAATGGCGGGCACGATAACTCAAAAACTAATAATCCAATCGGTTCCAAATTTTGACACGTTCTCTGGGAGTTTATAGTTCTCGTTTGAACTAGGATAAAGCCAATCGGTGAAGATCTTCCTTATTATACCCTACACAACTATGTTGTCAGGGTATTATACCTTTGTGCAGCTCCAAAAGTTTGTAATGCCGCGAAATATTGGTCCAAGACCCACATTTAAGTATACCGGTCATATCTCGACTAGCTGAATCGATCTAGACATATGTGTCCATCCGTCCGTGCGCCTGTCCATTATAATTTGTAAACACGATACAGGCCATAGTTATAGACCAATCTCCACGAAATTTTGCATGTAGAACTTGTTCTGGCCAATGAAGACCCCTATTGATCGGTTAATATTTAGGGGATAAATGGACCAAAAACTTTATTTTTGTCAGTTTTTCTGGTCGCTCCTGAGGCCGCAATTATGGCCCAAACACCGCAAATTTTTGCATGGAGATGGGGATCGGGCCAAAGAATAAGATAAAGATCGGTCAATATTTAGCGGGCCAAATTAACCCTGACTTTTGTGTGGAAAATGACAAAGTTTGTATTCTATGGCGTATATATTTGCCCCTGAAGGACCTCGACCCGAGAAGTTAATAGGCGATTTTACAAAAAAATGTTTCAAAGTTCCGCCATTTGGTTAATCGGTGTGCGATAATTTTTTACTCAATGAGAATCCAAAACATAAAATTACAGCTAATTTGGTTGAAGCACGAGTCCAAGCTCCCCAAAATACCGAAATATGGGAAGTAGCGTTATATCACACTGTGGTACAGGGTATTATGTCTTTGTGCATATGTTTGTAACAGGCACAAATAATCGAGATAGACCCATGGTTCCTTTTGAGAATATGGATAGAATCACTTTCTGAGTCAATTTACGCATGTCCGTCTGTCCATCCATGTATTTTTGTGAACAAAGTACAGGTCGCATTTATGATCTGAATTGGATGAAATTTGGCACAGCTCATTTGTTTGACCCAAGGACGAACCCTATTGAAATTGGGAAAAAATCGGTTCAGATTTAGATATAACTCCGATTTAAGGTAAATGGTATACCAAAGTCCCTATATATCATTTGATTTGCACGAATTTTGGCATAGCGAACTGAATTAAGTCTAGAATGATGTGTGCAAAGTTTCGTGAAAATCGGTTCAGATTTAGATATAGCTCCCATATATAGTTTCACCCGATTTTAGGTAAATAGTCCACTAAAGTCCCTGGAAATCTTTTGATTTGCACGAATTTTGGCATAGCGAACTGAATTAAGTCTAGAATGATGTGTGCAAAGTTTCGTGAAAATCGGTTCAGATTTAAACATAGCTCCCATATATATTTTCGCCCGATTTTAGGTAAATAGTCTACTAAAATCCCTGGAAATCTTTTGATTTGCACGAATTTTGGCATAGCGTACTGAATTAAGTCTAGAATGATGTGGGCAAAGTTTCGTGAAAATCGGTTCAGATTTAGATATAGCTCCCATATATATTTGAATCCGATTTAAGGTAAATGGTGTACCAAAGTCCCTATATATCTTTCGATTTGCACGAATTTTGGCATATCGTACTGAATTAAGTCTAGAATGATGTGTGCAAAGTTTCGTGAAAATCAGTTCAGATTTAGATATAGCTTCCATATATATTTTCATCCGATTTAAGGTAATTGGTGCATCAAAGACCCTATATATATATATATATATATATATCTTTCAATTTGCACGAATTTTGGTATAGGGTACTGAATTAAGTCTAAAATGATGTTGCTAAGCTTCGTGAAAAGATCCATAACAAGGCCGATTGTCACAATGTACTGAAGTAATATAAAGTGGTCTACGGCAAGTTTCCCTGAAATCGGTTCAGATATAGATATATAACAAAAACGCGACGTCTGTTAGGATACATATGTGGAATATACCCAAAGTGGTGAAGGGTATCATATAGTCGGCCCAGTCCGACTTTACTACTTTCCTTGCTGGTTTTTAGTAGGAAGATGTCACTCCGATTGAGAACCTGAAAAATCAAAATAGAATAAATTCGGTTAAAAACCTGCCCAAACCGCCCAAAATAATAAGGATTTCCTTTATATGAGCGCTACACGGAAACATTGACTAATGTTGATAATTTTTGGTAGGGACATTTTCCCAAATTTACATATAGCTTCCATATATATTTCTGTCCGATTTTAAGTAAATGGTGCACTAAAGGCTCAAATCTAAACGTACAGTAGTTAATATAAATAAATCTCTGGCAAGTTCCGTTGAAATTGGTTCCGATTTCGATATAGCTCCCATATATTTTATCCGATTTCATCCGATTTTAGGAAAATATTGCACCAAACTCCTAATGTTTGCATAATTGACACGAAATTTGCACAACGTATCAAAATGAGACTAGAATGACGTTTTTGCGTCTTGTTAAAATTGGTGCAGATGCAGGTATAGCTTCCATATATTTTCTACCGTTCAGTTAATTCATTGTTGTTAAATGTGTCCAGATAATACTTTCCCTGGGTTTTCCCATTTTCATCTTTATTTGCATTCTCCAGTTACACTATTCACTCATATTAGTTAAAAAAGACCATCTACTTTTAATCCCATCACCTTTCAATTTTCTGAGAATACCATCCTATTCATCAAACATTTCGTTTTCTCAATGTGAGAAATAAAAATCTTTATTATCTCACCTCTTTTAACTTTCATCCCACATACAAGAAGTTGATTGTTTTCACCTGTCACAATTTGCACTGCACTGCAATTGCATTCTTATTTAAATCCGTCACAAAATCTCTACTTTGGAGAGATTTACTGGTTTTTTCATTTTTATGAGATTTTAATTGGCTTTTTTCTCTCTTTCTCCGTTTCGGTTTTTTTATTATCTCTTTATTCGAACTTTTCTACGGCTTACCTCGATTCTCCCACACTCACACATACATACAAATATATTTTCAGGCGACGAGCTCAACAATTAAAAGTTGCCCGTCAAAAAGAAAAAGAATGGCTAAAACTCCAGCGAGCCAAAGGTGTCAATTTATCCACCCTCAACGGCCTGAGCACCACACATCACTTTCGCAATGGCACAACGTCCGGCAAAGGTCACATTTCGTTCGAAAACAGTGTAGTTCTGCTGGAGGCTGCGTCGCGCAATGATATGCAAGAAGTTGCCGAATTGCTGGAACATGGCATAACACCGGATGCCGCCAACGAAGACGGTCTGACGGCACTGCATCAATGCTGTATCGACAACAATGTGGAAATGTTGAAACTTTTATTGGAATATGGTGCTAATGTTGATGCACAGGACAGTGATAAATGGACGCCATTGCATGCAGCGGCCACCTGTGGTCATTTGGAATTGGTGCGAATACTTATCGATCATGGTGCTAATCTATTGGCCGTCAATACGGATGGCAACATGCCGTATGATCTGTGTGATGATGAAAATACGCTGGACTATATAGAGGCTGAGATGTCGAAACGAGGTGTTACCCAAGAACTAATCGATGAGACAAGATCGGCAACGGAAAGGCAAATGTTGAAAGATTTGCAAGAGGTGTCGAAAAATGGTGGGGATCTTGAACAGCCCGATGAACAGGGTGCAACGCCGGTAAGTAAATTCGTTATTAATTTTAGAAAATGTTTGTATAACTCTCTCTTTCTGTCCTTCTCTTTTCTCAGTTACACATAGCTGCCGCTAATGGTTATATCAAAGTAGTTGAATTCCTGTTAGAACAACATGTCAATGTTGATGCCGTAGACAAGGATATGTGGTCGCCAGTACATGCAGCAGCCTGTTGGGGCCATGTAAGTGTACCTGTAAGGGTTTTGGTTTCTGTTATTTAAATTATATTTTTGTTTTTTTTATTATTATTCAGCTTGAAGTATTGGAAATGTTGGCGCAATGTGGTGCTGATTTAAATATCAAAAACAAAGACGATGAAACGCCTTCAGGTGAGTT